GTAGTAGTAGTAGTAGTAGTAGTAGTGGTAGGAGGAGAAGGAGGAGAAGGAGGAGGAGGAGGAGGAGGAGGGGGTCTACGGCCAGGAACTCTTTCGCTCAGCGTGTCGCAGCGGCAGTCCCGGCGACCCGTTGTCCCTCGAGAGCGGGTGGCGTGTCGCTTGGCTCCGCGGGGCGCCAGGCTCGGAAGGGCTCGGGATCTGAGTGGCCCCGAGACGCAACACGCAACGCGTGGCGTATTGATGCGGAGCTCAACACCTAGACTGGAGACGTAGGTATGGCGCGGCACGCTCGCCAAAGCGTGGGGCAATCCGCGGAGCCAGCATTAACGCGGACGTTTTGGGCACGGCACGTGCTGCGTTTCAAACCGGGCGCATCGAGGCAGCTGGGCTCGGGAGCGTGGTGGGCCAGAACCAGCGGAGCAACACGCTGAGTCAAAGCTCCTGACCGTAAGTAGCCACCCCTGGGCCTCTGGGGCGGAGACGCTGCGCTTTCGGATGAGACGAAAGGGGGAGATGGTGAAGGCCAGGGTTGGAGATCAGCTACTTAGCACCCCGCAGTTTCGGGTGAGAGTGAGTGGGCGGGCGCGGGATGGGTCGCGGGGTGGGTCGCGGGGTGGGTCGCGGGGTGGGTCGCGGGGTGGGTCGCGGGGGAGGTCGCGGTCGGGTTGCTGGGGCGGCGCGGGCGAGGACGACGACAACAACGACAACAACAAGCCGCAAGAATGCGGGACACGGACTCCCAGTTCAGCCACGGATCCAGGGATCATGAACGACCGTTCGGCCCCCTCACGCCTGCCCGTGAGGCAGGAGTCGGAGCCTGAGCTGGAAGCTTCCTGGCCACTGGGGGCACGGGACCCTCATCGCCCCGGGGCTCCGAGCGCCTGCCGTCGGCCACAGGCCGCATGCCAGGAGGCCCGCCGTCCTCCCCCACGTGGGGGGGGGCCCGCGCTGCGCTCCTCCTGGCGGGGGGCTGGGCGGAGCCCCCTCCCGCGGGGTGCCGCGCTCGCGGCGGCAGACCCGGGCAGGTGCGGGCCGTCCGCGAGGGGGAGCCGCGGTCGGCGGCCGCCGTGGGGGGCCACCACGGGTGGACCATGGGTGGCCCCTCCCGGCGCCTCCGGCGCCGGCGCCGCGCCCACGGCACGTTTTCACGCCTCCTCCAGGCTCCCATCGCGGCGGGCCGCCCGCATCGGGCGGGCGCCGAGCGCTCCTCCACCGGAGGCCGTGGGTGGGAGAGGTGGGGGCCCCCGTGGGGGCCGAGAGCGCTGCTCTGGGGACCCCTCGTCCTCCCCTGAAGGGAGCGGAGGCGCTGCGCTTTCGGGCGAAGGGTTGGGGGGAGCCTCCTCGCACAACATGGCTCAGGGGGAAGGGCCCGCAATCCGAAGCGCGGCGCCCTGGGGCCGCACAACCAACCCACGGTCAGGACGGGTCGACATCACAGATGCTCTGTGGCCGGAGCTTGCGGAATATACTACTACGCCTTCTCCCTTTACTTTCGTTCGTACGCGCCACAGCATCCAACCGTGGTCTGGCGGATGAGGCTCTGCGTAACTCATACTGTCTACACCGATCCAGTGCGATCACCTCTGCCTGGCACGCCGTCACGGATACCCTTCACTTCGTCTTCATCCTCCGTGTAATGTGATACTTCTCCGCGTCCTCTGCACCCTTCTCGTCCTCCCTCCCCTCATGGTCTCTCTCCCTCTCCTCATCTTCCTCCTCCATCTATTCCTTCTGCTCCGTTTTCTCCGGCAGGCCTGGGGACTGCCGATCTGCAAGACGCTGTTGGAGGCTGCCAGGACCACCTGCACGGCGTGCTTCTGGCCGTAAGCGAGAAAGAGGAACTCCTGCACGACGTCGCCGTGGAGGCCTACTGCCTGGCACAGGTGGCTTGAGCAATGTAGCGCTTCAGCTACGGTCGGGAACTGTTGCTCAGCGTGTCGCGGCGGCGACCCCAGCGACACGTGATGCCCCGCGAGCTGATAGCGTGTCGCCCCGCTCCGCGGGGAGGGAAGCTGGTAAAGGCTCGGGACGTTGACGCTCGGGGACCGCGAAGTGGTTAGGGCTTCGTGTCAAAACGTAGTGGGCCAGAAGCGGCGGAACGACACCCTAAGCCAACTCTCCTGACCGTAAAGTGACGTCGTAAGGATGCAAGGTAAGGATGCAAAAAACCAGACTCGATTGCTGCAGAAATCGCTGCGTCGCCCGTCCCCTAGATGAGATATCAGGCTTGCTTGATGAGGCGTGAGTGCAGAGCGAAGCCTTGTGAAGCACCTGTTGCTGTGGCCTCTGACTGTGCTGTTGTTTCTTCTCATGATCCTGTTTCTGCCCCTCCACCTTCTGCTCCTTCTCCTCCTCCTCCTCCTCATCATCATCCTCATCATCATCATCATCATCATCATCATCATCATCCCTCCACCAAATCCTGCGTATCCTCGTCCTCGTCACGTGGACGTCATCGTCCACGTTTGCATTTCTCATCCTTCTCTTGGTCCTCTTCCCCCTCTTCCTCCTCCTCCTCCTCCTCCTCCTCCTCTTCCTCCTACTCATGGTTTGTCCTCCTACTTCCTCCACCAGTGCGACAAGGGGGCAATGGAGGGGATGTGGCACGAGGAGCAGGAAGACGACGAGGGAGATGGTGATGCCGATGGTGATGAGGAGCAGGAGGATTAGGAGGAGGACGACGACGAGGGCACTCTCCACATCACTCTGCGGGGCGACCGTGTAGGAGGAGGGTGGGAGGGAAGGAAGGTGGAGCGTGGCCGATGGCCAGATCCAAAATCCAATCTTCTCTGTCTCCCGTCTACAGGCCTTCCTGGCCTGTGGATGGGAGGAGTCGAGAGAGGAAGGGAAGGACGGGAAGGGAGGGGAAGGAGGGGGGCGGAGGGAGAGGAGGAGGAGGAGGAGGAGGAGGAGGAGGAGGAGGAGGAGGAGGAGGAGGAGGAGGAGGAGGAGGACGAGGAGGAGGAGGAGGAGGAGGAACAGAAGCAGGTGGAATGGAGCAGGAGGACGGGTACGAGGAGGACGACGAGAGCACCGACCGCCAACCGCGCCGTCGCCTGCGGGCCGAGCATGCAGAAAGCAGGAGGACGGAGGGGGGAGGACTGCAGTGCAGTGCAAACGCCCCTGAGGGTAGGCGCAGCCCTGCCGCGTCGGGCTGGGCACGTGGGCTCTCGCCCATCCTCGAAGCGGTGCTCGTCAAGGTTGGCACGCCTTCTGGTCCCCGAGCCTGTGCAAGGACCATTGCTGGCACCTGGTGTTGGTGGCTAGTGCGCGTGGGTGGCATACCCGAGACAGCCGCCTCTGTTCAACACATTAAGGTTGACGGGGGGGGTCACGATAGCCCCATATCGCCCCCTACCTTAGAGGTGACAAGGCGTGAGGGAAGAGGAAGAGGACGAGGAGGAGGAGGAAGAGGAGGGGGAGGAGGAGGAGGAGGAGGAGGAGGAGGAGGAGGAGGAACCGTAGGAGAAGGAGGAGGAGGACGAGGAGGAGGAGGAGGAGGAGGGGGAGGAGGGGGAGGGGGGGGGAGGACAAGCTAGGTGCGCTCGCGTCATATCTGACGTCCTACCCCTCCCTCCCATCCCTTACCATGGCGCTGATTTTCTCTATCCGCGGACGCGTGTCGTAGCGGACCTGTGGCTCCGCGCGCGCGTGCGTAGTGGGTGGTGGTGCGCGTGCGTGCGTGCGTGCGTGTGTGCGTGGTTGTGGTGGTGGTGGTGGTGGTGGTGGTGGTGGTGTGTGGTGGTGGTGGTGGTGGTGGTGGTGGTGGTGCTGGTGGTGGTGGTGGTGGTGCTGGTGGCGGTTATGGTGCTGGTGGTGGTGGTGGTGGTGGTGGTGGTGGTGGTGGTGGTGGTGGTGGTGGTGGTGGTGGTGGTACGGCGCGGTGGTGGCGGGCGGATGGGCGCGCGAGAAAGAGGCCCGCACTGGGGCGAGAACGCCATCCTGAACGACGGAGGCCAAACACCGATCCGAAAATGAGGTCCACGCTGCAGCGGGAGCACGATTCGGAACGATTCGGGAGCAGAAATAGGCCGGCGCCTCAGCGAGAGCAGCATTTTGAAAAAAAACGCAGGCGAAAACCCAACTCCCGGGAATCCTGTGTAAAAAAAAACAGTACACGGGGGGGTCGGCTACTTTCAGGCCGCCATCGGGGGAAAAGGGAGAGCAGTATTCATTGAGTAATTGTGGAGGCGGAGGAGGAGGAGGAGGAGGAGGAGGAGGAGGAGGAGGAGGAGGAAGAGCATGAGGAGAAGGAAGAAGAGGAGGGGGAGGATGAAGAGGAGTTGGAGGATTGCAGAGTAGTGCTATTGCCCTTGAGGGTAGGCATAACCCTGTGAAGGTGCTCGTGACAGTTGGGTTGACAACCTTCTGGTCCCAGAGCCTGTGCTGGGACTGTTGTTGGCACACGGTTTGGTGACCTGGTATGCGTGGTCAACATACCCCGAGACAGCCACCTTTGTTCGCCACATTAATTAGGTTTGGCGGGGGGGCTTCACGATAGCCCCTATCGCCTCCTACCGTACAAGTGATCAGTCATGAAGCTTCTCACCACCTGATCAGAGGATGGGCTGGCATCCCCAAGAATAGTGTCAGACGCTGGCTCCCTTACCTTGTAGGGGGGGCCCGGGGCAGCTCACTGGGGGCCACAAGGCAGGCCAGCTTGCTACCCTAGCCCCAGTTGGGGCATGTGCGCCTGCTACACCGCAGGGAGGATCGCCATCCTGGCGGTGACGGGGGTCGCATCAAGGCAGCATGGAGACCAGCTCTGCAGCAAGCCGGGACGCCACCTTAGGGGTGACAAGGGGGGACCTGCACCATCGCAGGTCGGATCGCCACCCCAAGGGTAACACGGGTAGGCAGCTCTCAGGCAAACTGGGTCGCCCCCTCCAAGGGTGGACGGGGCCGACCCCCTCCACTGCCGCTGATGTCTCCGCTGTGGGGTGACAAGAAGGCAGCTGTTCCACACGATGCCTGCCCCAGCTGCAACGCGCGAGAGTGGCCACCAGCGGGCCCGGACGATTTCCGAACATACCGCCCCCCTGGGCGCAAATGTTCAGAAATTGTCTGGGGCCACCCCGCGTTCCACCCCAGTGCAGTGAGCTCTTGCTCGGGGCCACGCTGGCGGTCGTGGGCGGCCGGCGACCTCAGAAAAGCCGCTTGGGGCCCAAGGTCGGGCCCGCCAGGCCTGGAAAAGTGAGCAGGACCGCCGGTGTTGCCGCTGGGCTGTGCCCTGCAGGACAGAAGCTCCAGCGTCATTGCCGGCTGTGCCCAGTACAGTCATCGGCCTGACCGAAGGAACGATAAAAAAGGAACGAAGCCCCTTTTTTATCCCAAGGAATAACGCATAAGGAACGATAAATAGTAGATAACGCATAAGGAACTGTAAATAACGCATGTAGAATCTAAGGAACGACCGAGCTCCTTTTGAAAAGCAAGTGTTCCTTATTCAAGCCGCTCACTGTATGTGCGCATGCCTCGTGTGGAGAGGTGCGCGGGACCGCCGGCATTTCCGCTTGGCTGAGTTCTGGAGGTCGGACCCTCCTACGTGTCAGAATGCGAACAACGCTGCCAGCATTGTCGTCGGGCCGCTTCCTGGATCGAGGCACATAACACGTAAGGAAAGGCAATCGTGCAGGGCCGCCGGCATTGCCGCCAGGCTGTGTCCTGGAAGCCAAAACCTCCGACATGTCGATTGAAAGTGTCTTCGGATTTGATCGATGGAATGATGTTTCCTGTTCTTCCCCAACTAAGCTTGCCTAAGGGGTTCCTACTTGGTTAAAAGGTTGGTGCCTCGGGGGGCTACTCTGCCCGTTCCTCGGAGGTCCCCTGGGTTCCTCGGGTTGCCCGGGTTCCTCGGGTTCCTCGGGTTCCCCGCATTCCCCGGGTTCCTCGTGTTCCTCGGGCTCCTCGGGTTCCCCAAGTTCCTCGGCTTCCTCGGGTTCCTCGGGTTCTTCGGGTTCCCCAAGCAATGCCAAGCAATGCCAAGCGATGCAAAGCCACGCCAAGCAGCGCCAAGCAACGCCAAGCAATGAGAAACAATGAGAAGCAACACCAAGCAGCGCGAAGCAATGCCAAGCATTGCCAAGGAATGCCCAGCAACGCCAAGTAATGCCAAGCACTGCGCCCATGCAATAGGACAACTCTCCCTAATTGGGGTCGCGCCGGGCCCATTGAGGGCCCCAGGGTCGAGGTCCAGGCAGACCAGAATCCTCTACGTGAGGGCGTGCGGGACCGCCGGCCTTGCCGTCGGGCTGTGTCCTTGAGGCAACAGCCTCGTGACGGGGGTGGGCGTGCATCATCTGTGGGAGCACGAAGTCTGGCATTGCCACGCCAGCCTGCGTCTCCAAGGGGACGAACCATGTAGCGGCTCGACGTGAGAATGTGCAGGGCCGCCGCCCTTGAGGCAAGCTGCCTCGCAACAGGGGGAAACGTGCATGATGTGCGGATGCGCGAAATCTGGCAACTCCGCCAGCCTGTGTCCACAGAGAGACAACCTTGGTATTCGGTTTGGACGCGGGAATGTGCAGGACCGCCGGCCTTGCCGCTGGGCTGTGTCCTTGAGGCAACATCCTCGCGACGGGGCCAGGCGCGCACAATCTGCGGACGCACGATGGCTGGCAATGGCGCCCCAAAAGGGGACGAACCTTGCTAGCGGTTCGACGTGAAGGCGTGCAGGACCGCCGGCCTTGCCGCCGGGCAACGTCCTGGAGGCAACAGCTTCGCGACGATGGCTAGCGCGCAGAATCGGCGAATGCTCGCAAACTGGCATTGCCGCCAGGCCGACCCCACAAGAGAAAGAAGCGAGAGAACCAGGGGGATGCGGGTGTGCAGGACGGCCGGCCAAGCTGCTGGGCTGCTGCGTCCCTGAGGCGACAGACTCGCGACGAGGGCAAAATCGCAAAATCTGCAGACGCACGATAGCTGGCACTGCCGCCAGACAGCGCCCATTAGGCGACGAACCTCGGTAGTGGTTCGACGTGAGTCTGCAGGAGCGCAGGCCCTGCCGCCTGGCAACGTCCTCGAGTCCTTTGCCTCGCGACGGGGCCAAGCGCGCAGAATTTTGCGGATGCGCGCAAGCCCGCGCTGCCGCCGGGCAGCGCCCACAGGAGATGACTGCGCGTCCCGGGCCAACGAGTGCACGCAGGCATGCGGGCCTCGCCGCCGGGCTGCGTCCTTGAGGCGACTGCCTCGCGACGGGAGTATGCAGAATCTGCGGATGCACGGAAACCGGGACTGCCACCGGACGGCGTGCAAGAGGAGACGGGCCGTGGTAGCACGGGCCACGCGAGGGCGCGGAGGACCGCTGGCCCTACCGCGGGCCTGTCTCCTGGAGGCAACTAGACTCAACAGCCCCACGACAGGGGCAAGCGCGTAGAGACTGTGGGCGCACGGAAGCCAACGCTGCCGCCAGCCAACGCCCAGAAGAAAACGAAGCGTGGTGACTGGAGGGACATGAGGATGTGCAGGACCTCTGGCATTGCCGCCGGGCAGCATCCTTGAGGCAACATCCTCGCGACGGGGGTGGGCGTGCGTAAACTGCGGACGCACGATGGCTGGCATTGCCGCCAGCCTGCGTCTCAAAGAGGACGAACCATGGTAGCGGTTCGACGTGAGAGTGCGCAGGATCGCTGGCCCTGCCGCCGGGCAACGTCCTTGAGGCATCTCCTTCGCGGCGGGGGAAGGCGCGCAGAATCAACAAATGCACGCAAACTGGCACTGCCGCCAGGCACCACCCACAGGACACGAAGTGGGAGAACCAGGGAGATGTGAGTGTGCAGGACCGCTGGCCTTGCCGCTGGGCTGTTTCCTTGGGGCGACTGCCTCGCGACGAAGGTAAACACGCAGAACCTGCGGATACGCGAAAGCCGGCACTGCTGCCCTTGCATCAGGCATCAGAGGCGGGTGCCCGTGCCTGTCCATCGACACGGACGGGCATCCGGGCCCGTTCGGCCCTACCTCCCTGAGGAGGGCCGTGCCTGCCCTGAGTGTGAGGGCATACGTTCCTAGGGCACGGTCGCCCAGCTATTCACTGGAGCTGCTCAGGGGCGCTCTTCGAGCACATGGACCTCTCAGTGGCGCCCCATGCGTCCCCTGGGCTTTTCCCCTTACCCAGTATCGAATGGCGTCGGCACGGGGGCAAAGGTGAGCAGCACGAGCAGGAGCAGCAGCATGAGCAACAGGAGGAAGGGAGGAAAGACGAGGAGGGAGGCGTCGCCGCCATCATCATCCTCGTCGTCGTCCTCCTCCTCCCTCCTCCCTTCGCATCTCTCCTGTAGCTCCTCCTCCTCCTCCTCCTCCTCCTTCTCCTCCTCCTCCTCCTCCTCCCTCCTCCTCTTTCCTTCGTATCTCTCCTGCAGCTCCTCCTCCTCCTCCTCCTCCTCCTCCTCCTCCCTCCTCCTCTTTCCTTCGTATCTCTCCTGCAGCTCCTCCTCCTCCTCCTCCTCCTCCTCCTCCTCCTCCTCCTCCTCCCTCCGTTTCCCTCCTCCGATTCCTGGGAGGAGTTGGAGGCAGCTGGCCCGGAGAGACCACAAAGTTACTGATACCACTGCTCCCCAGACCTCTCCGGGGGTGCGTTCTGATCAGGATCCTGAGGCGAATTCGGCCGTGGCGACGAGGGCCTCCCAGGAGACTCAAAGTGGTAAAACATGGCGAGGGTGGCGGCATCGGTACCTTTTCCTCCTCTGGCGGCCCCGGCCCGGCCCGCGCCTCAATCTGCGGGGCGATCATGTACGAGCCCTCGGGCATCGCGCGCAGGCCGCGCAGGGTCGGGTCCCCAGTCGCGCGCCGGCCCTCGCAGTAGTCCTCGCGGCGGGCGCCGCGAGCTTCTCGTGGTCCTCGTCGTCGTTGTCGTCGTCGTCGTCGTCGTCGTCGTCGTGCAGCGGCAGCTGGGGCTGGTACAGTGGAGGCAGCGGAAGAGAAGGGGCAGCAGCGGCGGAGGCGGCGGAGGCACCAGTCCCTCCTCCCTCCTCCCTCCGTCCCGCTTTGCTCTTCCCTCCTTCCTCCTCCCTCCCTTCCTCCTCCTCCTCCTCCTCCTCCTCATATCCTCCCCCTCCTCCTCCTCCTCCTCCTCCTCCTCCTCCTCATCCTGCCCCTCCTCTTCTTCCGCCTCCTCATGAAGCCTGACGCTGTAGACACCAGGGTCGTTGTCAAAACGCTTCCTTGACGCCTCCTCTGCCTCCTCCTCGCAGACCTCGCAGACCACAGTGGCGCATGGTCATACGGCCTGCGCCACACACCTCGGAATGAGTCTGTAGGTTGGGCAAACTACGGAGGCTACAGAAGAGAAGGGGCAGGGGGAAAGGGGAAAGTAGGGAGCGAGGACAAGGAAGCACTGGCCCCAACCTGAAGCTCGCGCCAGGAAAATCCCACGAAGGACCATTGACCGTTTCGAAGAACGCCTGGAATTCAAACGCAGTTCCCACAATTGTCGGCTTTCGACGAAAAAAGACCGCCAAAACAAAGCACAACACATGAAAGGCACATCCGTTTCCACAACCCTGGGCCAGTGGCGCTGATAGAATCACATTCGCTGAGCAATCCTGCTGCAATAAATCAGAGGGGGCCCGAACGAACCTACTTTTTCCTTGTATGCGCGCGGCTGGATTGGTGGTTCCGTCTGCGGGGGCGGTACATGGAGGCCCAAGTTTGGGGGCCATCTTTGGGGGGCAATACATGGGGGCAGTACTTGGGACCAATATGTGGGGGCGATACATGGGGGCAAAACATGTGGGCGATACGTGGGGAAGATACTAGGGGACGATACTTGGGAGCAGCACGTGGGGGCGATGCATGAGGGCAATACATGGGGCAATCCATGGGGGGCAGTCAGTGGGGACGATACATCGGTGCGAGACTCGGGGGTAAAACATAGGGGCGATACTTGGGGGCAATTCGTGGGGGCAATACTACGAGGTTGTACGTGGGAGAAGTACACGGGGGCGATACACAGGCAATACATGGGGGCGACACGTGCGGGCGACACATGGGGGCGATACATGGGGGCAGTACGCGAGGGCCAATACATGGGGCCGATGCATGGGGCCGTTACACGGGTGCGATACATGTCTGCAGTACATGGGGACGATACATGGGGGCGAAACTTGGGGACAAAACGCGGGGACGATACATGGGGGCAGCACACGGGTGCGGTACTTGGGGGCAGCACCATGTTTGAGTAACTACCAAGCAATCGGGACCGAACCCGCCGCGTCCCCCGACGGTGGTCAGAGTTGGCTGCATCATGTGTCACGGTGTTGCTGTCCTGTAATGCTTTCGGCCGGCGCACAGTTTTACGCTTTCGTCGCGCAGCGATGCAACAAATGTTGCGTTTTGTTGCACGTCTAGCAATTGCGTACCCAATTATTTGCGATTAGCGCGCCTCCCGCACACTTGTGGTGAAGTCGGTTTTGCGGAATGTCTGCAGCGCCGCGCGTGTCTCGCCCAAGGTCGGGGCTGACGGCGAAGGAACGTCTCACGCTAGGTTCAAAAGGCTGCGCGCTGCAAGGTTGGCAAAGCTGACATTACCGGCCGTCCAAACGCACTGGGGCAGTACATGGGAGCAACACTTGGGGGCAATGGATAGGGGAATACTTTCGCCCCTGCCGCCGCCCCCGCACTCTCCTCCGCAAATGCGGGGTGCTAGCTTTTGGAGCGCATTTTTCGTCGATCTTCGATGGTCCCCAGGTGCCACGGAGCTTCTGCGGGTCCCTGGGGCCGTGGGTGGATAAGAAACTTCTGTGGGGCACCTGCTGGAAGGCCGATGTCTTCTTTGATGTGCCTTGCTGCGTAGTCAGAGGCGCTTCGAGCCATCATAAGGTCTCTCAGAGGCTGCTTACGAAGCCCCTGCAGGGCGTCTCAAAGGGCCCCGTAAAAGGCGTCTTACGCAACCTCCCAAGGGCCGAAAGCACCAAACCCTAGACTTCAGTGTTCCGCACTTCTGGAGCCCTGTGCAACAGGAAGGCTTAAATCACCAAGCTCCGAAGTTTAGTGGTGTAAGCTCTGGATTATGATGGTTTTCCCCTCCCCGTTGCCCGATCCCCCTCTTACTCCATGTATTCCTCTTTCTCCTCCTCCACCACATCATCATCAGCATCATCATCAACATCAACATCAACATCATCCTCATCATCATCATCATCATCATCATCATCATCGTCGTCATCGTCATCATCATCATCATCATCATCATCATCATCATCATCATCATCATCATCATCATCATCATCATCATCATCATCATCATCATCATCATCATCATCATCATCATCATCATCATCATCATCATCATCATCATCATCATCATCATCGTCGTCATCATCATCGTCAATCATCCTCCTCATCCTCCTCTCCTCCCCCTCCTCTTCTTCCTCCTCCTCATCCGCCTCCTCCTCCTCCTCCTACTCCTCAGCCTCCTCCTCCTCCCCCTCCGTTTACCTACTCGCATCTCCCACCTCCTCCTCCTCCTCTTCCTCCTGCTCCCCCTCCGCTTACCTACTCCCGCCTCCCACCTCCTCCTCCTCCTCCTCCTCCTCCTCCGCCTCCGCCTCCTCCTCCCTCTCCTCCTCCTCCTCCTCCTCCTCCTCCCCCCCCCTCCTCCTCATCCCCCCCCCTCTTCCTCCCCATCCTCATCCTCCTCACCATCATCATCCTCCTCGTCTTCCCTCGGTCCGAGATCCGCTCAAAGGCAGCCCCAACCAGCTTCGGATCCCTCCCCTCCCTCTCTCCTCCACCGCGGCCCCAAGGGCTCCCAGGCAGGACCAGCACCCGCGAACGGGACCCCTGGGGCGGCCGGAATGGTCGATCCGATCGCACGCGCGCGCCAGTGACACCACCGCCTTCGGCGAGGGGTCCCTCCATTCCTCCCTCACTCCCTTCCTTCCAGCCCTTCGCCGCCAGCAAGGACACCTGCCAGAGACGTACACCCTTGCAGCCGAGAGCGAACTTCACGACCGAGGGGCCGCCCGCGACAGCACCACGGGGCAGGACCACTGCGCCAAAGGCGGCCCGATCCTCCACGATCATGCCGTTGACCAGCAGCTGCCACGCCTGGGTGCTGCGGCAGCGGCGGAGCTCGAGGAGGCAACCGCCGGGGCCTGGCTCGCGGGCGAGGGCCCCTGTCTCGGACGGCGCTGTCGCCCCTCCCCAGGAGGGAAGGGATGGGATGGAGGAGGAAGGGAAGGCGGGAGGAGGAGGAGGATGGAGTGATGCTGATACAGAGGATGGTGATTATGGTAATGGTGATGGTGATGATGCTGCTGTGCTGTTGTTGATGATGATACTGGTGGTCCTGGTGACGATGATGAGAATGATAAGGATGATGCTGATGACGATCATGACGACGATGCTGATGACCATCATGATGACCTTGATGCTGCTGCTGATGATGATGCTGCTGATGATGACGATGACGGGGAGGGGGATGGGGAGGAGGGGGGAGGAAGAGGGAGGGAGGGAGGGCGGGAGGGGGGAGGAGGAGGAGCAGCAGGAGGAGGAGAAGAAGAGCATTAGGATAGGAAGGAGGCGGGGAGGGGGTGGCAGGAGGGAGGAGGTTTGGGCAGGAGGAGGAGGAGGAGGAGGAGGAGGAGGAGGAGAGGAGGAGGAGGAGGAGGAGGAGGAGAAGAAGAGGGGAGGGGAGGAGGAGGAGGAAGGAGGAGGAGGAGGAGGAGGAGGAGGAGGAGGAGGAGGAGGGAGGAGGAGTAGGAGTAGGAGAAGTAGGAGGACGAGGAGGGAGGGAGGAGAGAGGAGAGGAGGAGGAGGAGGAGAGGAGGAGGAGGAGAAGGAGGAGGAGGAGGAGGAGGAGTAGGAGGAGGGGAGGAGGGAGGACGCGGAGGAGGAGGAGGAGGAGGAGGAGGGGGGAGGGAGGAGGAGGAGGAGGGAGGAGGAGGAGGAGGAGGAGGAGGAGGAGGAGGAGGAGGAGGAGGAGGAGGAGGAGGAGGAGGAGGGGGGAGGAGCAGGAGGAGGAGAGGAAGAGGAGGAGGAGGAGGAGGAGGACAGGACACAGGCTATCCGCAAAAGGGGGTCAACCTCAACACACCTAGACTGGTGCCTTGCGCGCGTCTCCAAATTCCCCTGCGACTTGGTTGTGTAGCAGCCCTGGATTCTCACTAGGGATGGCAGGGGGGCACGCCTCGAAGCTTCAAGGGGTGAGCTCCGAGGTCGCCCCGTGAGAGAGGCTCGCTACCTTGTGAGTACGAGTCCCTGCGGGTCAGTGCGGGGTGAGCAACTGTCTGCCCTTCCACGAGCCCCGGGAAAAGGGGACGCGCTGGGCGAGCAGGACTCCCAAGCGAGGGGGGAAGAGACGACGAGGAAGCCCAAGCTTTCCAAACTTCTGCTGGGGGGCCTAAATCCTACTCTATCATGTTCTCTCCTCGCTCTCTCTCTCTCTCTCTCTCTCTCTCTCGGAGGAGGAGGAGGAGGAGGAGGAGGAGGAGAAGGAGGAGGAGGAGGAGGAGGAGGGGGAGGAGGCGGAGGAGGACGCGGAGGAGGAGGAGGAGGAGGACGAGGAGGGGGAGGAGGCGGAGGAGGTGAGATGAGGACACAAGCGTAGAAGGAAGGTTAGGCGATGATGATGATGGCGATGATGATGAGAATGATGATGATGATGATGATGATGATGATGATGATGATGATGATGATGATGATGATGATGACGATGACGATGACGATGATGATGATGATGATGATGATGATGATGATGATGATGATGATGATGATGATATGATGATGATGGTGATACTGTTGATGCTGTTGTTGATGATGATGATGATGATATGATGATGATGATGAAGGAGGAGGAGAAGGGCGGCACATCTTTTAAACGGCACGCCCTCAATCCGTGAAATTCTTGCGATGTCTTGCGGCGAATGTTCGCGGTGCTGGGGCGAGAGCAACATGTTGAAAAAGACCCGCCCCCATCAAACTCCTGCAAAGTCTTAAAACGAACGCACGCGGCGCTGAGGCGAGAGCCAGATTCAGAAACGATCCGTCCTCCATCCGTGAAGCTCCTGCAAAGTCTGTATACGAAGGTGTGCGGCGCTGAAGCGAGAGCCACATTTTGAGAGCCAAGGTGAGGAAATCTCGGGCGAAACGCCCAGCCCGCCCTTCCGACGGGCCTCGGGGTGCAACAGGGAGGAGTTCTATGGAATTCTCTATAAGGACATGGAAGGAAGGAGGAGGAGGAGGAGGAGGAGGAGGAGGAGGAGGAGGAGGAGGAGGAGGAGGAGGAGGAGGGAGGAGGAGGGAGGAGAGAGGAGGAGGAAGAGGAGGAGGAGGAGGAGGAGGGAGGGGAGGAGGAGGGAGGAGGAGGAGGGTGGAGGAGCGAGCGAGCGAGTGAGCGATGCCTGCGCAGCTGGAGAGTATCCAGTGGAACACCTGCTGCTTCTACTGAGACGTTTCAGGCGTTGCTGGTGTCCACTCAGATGTATGAGGATCACGCCTCAGATATCAATCTCGCCCACTAAGGCCTGCTGAGGCCCCCGTCGGCTCACGAACAGAGCTGATATGTATATTATATAATATATATATATATATACGCACTCAATACATATATATATATATATATATACATAGGCTATATGACATTCTATGATATTATATTAGACTATACGGTACTACAATATAATATAATATACTATGTTGTATTACAGTTTGTGATACTATATTATATTATGTTGTCTGGGATTGTATTATATTATATTATATTATTTTATATTATATTAAAGTAGATCATGCTATGTTGTATTATATCAACGTATACTATATTATATTGTGCTATATTGTAGTATATCATATTAAACCATACTATACTATATTGTATTATATTGTACCCTATGCTAGTGTATTATATGGTTTTATATTATAGCATACGATATTACATCATACTATATTATATTAGATTGGCTTATACTGGATTGTACTGTATTACAATACATATTATTATGCCATACCATATTAAATTATACTATACGATGTCATATTATATACATTATAATGTATTGTATTCGAATATGTTATAATATATTGTTTCTATCATATTAGCCTATGCTCTAGTATATTATAGTATGTTATGATATATCAGATTATATCATATTAACTTATACCATGTTATAGTATACGATTTTATATATAATGTATACATATACATATACATCTACATACAAGACTGCAGTGGCGCTTCGCGCCATGCACCTTGGTCCTTGAAATTTGGTATGCAGGCGGAACAGCAGGAAGGTCAAACCGACAATTTAGCGATAACTCCTTGATGCCTTTTCCGACATCGCCGCTATGATCATGTTATTCGTTTTCCTTCCTCCATGCTCCTTTTTCCTCATGTTCGCCATACCCTGCGCATTCTCCCCATCCTCCTCAGCTCTTGTTTGCGCAAGCTCCTCCTGGGAGAGCCTCCGGGGGCCTCACAAAAGATGTTTCAGACTTTATTAAGGCATTCTGGAGGCCTCATGGTCGTATTCTGGGGGCCTCTGGGGGCTTCCTCGGCCACCCTGCCTCCAACTGCGGTCTCCCTGAAGGACCGGGTCACGATTTGGAATACTTCGGAGGGTGTCTTGGGGCCATCTTGGGCCGCCATGGGGCTCTCTGAGGGCCATCTTGGACCCGTGTTTGTTGTGCCGTTTTGGGGCTCTCTTGGACTGCCTGGAAGCCCTTTCGGATGGTTGTGGGGCGATTTTGGAGCCTCCCAGGCGGCTTCGGACGCCCAGAAGACCGCCGGCTTGGAGCGTCGGGAAGCCGAAAAGAGGAGAACCCCAAGATTCACCAAAAGCCAACAGAAAATCTATGATTGTTGCCTCTTGGGGCCTTCTTGGAAGTGCTCTTGGAGGCCTCTTTGGGGCCGTCCTGGAGGCCTCTTGGGCCATCTTGAGATCACGTCGGTCACTCTTGGAGCGCTCTTGTGCTGTCTTGGGGGTGTCTGAGACGTCTCCGATGACTCCCCTGAACGCCCTAGGTGTGCTGGGAAGGCTTGGCAAAACGCCCTGCGAGGCCCGGGGGGCCGCTTCGAGGCCCGTCCGGATGGTCCCAAAGCCCCAGATCCCGGGAGTCTGGTTTTTGGGGAGGGGGGCCCCCCCCGCCCGGGCTTATAAAAATATAGGAAGAGGAATACATACATGCATATTCATATATTCTGGATGTCGAGCTATCGAAACGCCTTTGGCACTCTGGCTCACAGCGCCTCCCAGGGAGTCAACAACTAACCTCTGCTGGCAATGGCTGGAGGACCGACATGAAAGGGACAGGACGAGACGAGCAAAGGAAAACGCTCGGATCACAGCGGATGGGGACGGGAGACGCTCTGCGTGAAAATTGCCTGGAGACCCGCCACTAGGACGGACGAGGGGGAGGAGGAGAGCGGACGAGGAGGGAGCATGAGGAGGAGAGCGGTGGAAGAGAAGGAGGGAGGAGGGATTTTTGTTTGACATTAGCGGCTAATGACCCCACCTCGGGCGGGCGAACCCTCACGGACGGGTCGGGCTGGGCGGGCGGGACATTCAAGTGTGGGGTGCGCTCGACCGAGCACGCGCGAACCCGAACGGGCGGGTCGGGTTGGGCGGGCGGACTCTAGCGGGCGGGTCGGTTCGGGTCGGGCGGACCATAACGGGCGGGTCGGGCCGGGCGGGGCGGACATTAAAGTATGGGGCGCGCTCGACCGAGCACGCGCGAACCCAAACGAACGGGTCGGGCGGGTTGGGCGGGCGGACTCTAGCGGGCGGACCCTAACGGGCGGGTCGGGTCGGGCGGGCGCGACATGAAAGTGTGGGGCGCGCTCGACCGAACACGCGCGAACCCTAGCGGCGGGTCGGGTCGGGCGGTCGGACCCAAGCGGGCGGGTCGGGTCAGGCAGTTTCGCCGACGGCAGCTGGTTTCGCCGACGGCAGCTGGTTTCGCCGACGGAGCTGGTTTCGCCGACGGAGCTGGTTTCGCTGGGCGGCGAAAGCAGCCGGGCGAAACTATGGCGAAACCAGCCGGGCGAAACAATCCGTCGGCGAAACCAGCGGTCGCCGCAGGAGGAGGGAGAGGGAGGAGGGGTAGGAAGGAAGAGAAAGAGGGAGGAGGGAGCAGGAAGAGGAGGAAGTATGGGGAG